GCATAGTTGCTTTTTTCTTGGATTTTCTATTAGCTCGAACTCGATGCCACTTTTAACCTTAAGCAGGGGCAGAGACTCGCCTGGGGCTGCCATGGCCTATGACTGAAAATCCATTTAAATCTACCTTGAAAATTGCAAGAAAATTATGAGGGTATACTGGTTAAACTAGTTTAGCTTCAGGCCTATGTCTGTGCTTGTTGTTCTATCCATTCTAAGTTCCAACTTGTTGAAATAGTTGTCTCTATGGCAGAACAGGCTTGCCTACTTAGAGCATTGCAAGAAAATTATGTTGTTAAGCCCACAACCTTAAGTTATGTAGTGAAGTCTGTGCTATCCATTCCCATCTTGCTACCAAGGTTCTGCTACTTTTATTAGAAATAAAATAAAAAGATGTTTATACTCTCTCTGTTCCAAATTATTTTAAGTCCTAACTTTGTCCTAAGTCAAACTTCTTTAAGTTTAACCACATTTGTAAAATAATACTCCCTCCGTCCGAAAAAGCTTGTCCCACAAATCGATGTATCTAGCACTAACTTGGTGCTAGATACATCCATTTGAGGGACAAGCTTTTTCGGACGGAGGGAGTATATGAAAATCTACTGCACGAAATAAGTTTCATTAGATTCATCATAAATATATTTTTGTAGTATATAAATTCGATGTTGTAGATATTAGCACATTTCTTTGTAGTCTATTTTATGACTCCGCTAGAGGTTCCTCACCTCCTTTGCATCCCTAACGTAGCTGTGTCATTCCACGTGATAAATGCACGCCAGATGTTTATAACAGTTGGGTATATTCATTGAAGTCTTTAGTATAATAGTGTATCTCTGAATACTTGTTTTTCTTTCTGTTTTGTCCTTTTTTCAGGCTACCCCAGGAGATCCACTTGTGGAGAAGTATATGTCTATGGGGCTTGGACGTGAAGCTGTTTCATTTGCTGTGCTAAATTATGGAGATAACCCAACGAAGGCATGATCTTTCTCTTTTATCTTGTCCTTTAGCAATACTATCTTTCATCATCATCAATTACAAAAAACCCAATGCTTTGCTGTATTATGTGACTGTATCGGTGAACCAATACTATCTTTCATTGTGGCCAATCACATAGGTACAAACAGCTGATGGCTGTTACATTTTACAGTTAACTAGATGATACCCTGCGCGTTGCGGCAGGAATTTATGCAATTAATTTGCAAGGAAACAAATACCAACTATATTATATACATGTGATAGCAAATAATGTACTTATGTGGAAGTGTCATGTATGCATTATCAGCACATCAAATGGTGTTTCGACCATTAAGGGAAAAAAAATCAAGTCACCTAACAAAAGGTAACTTATAATAACTTAACGTTTCCTGTTCATACCTGAGGTTATGCTAAAAGGTTTCAGTTTCGTAATATCATCTCAACTAATTAGATGTTCACAGAAGATGTTACAATCTTGGCCACATTTCGATATCACACATTTACAGATTTCCTGATTACATAACAATAAAATGAGTGTTACATTTGTCGATATTCTGTGCATGTATATGAAAAAAATGGCAATCACTAAATGTTCTTTCTGAAGTACAATCAGAAACCTCAAACTTGAATAACATAGACGTGACATGAAGCCCTCAAATGACAAAAAAGAAAACTTAGCATACCAAGTTTGTTCTCGCCCTCCATTTCAGTCTGCATGCTGCCAGAAATATTAGATGGATTCCATATGAAACAAAAAAAAATGCTATTCATAACTATTTGGGGAAAGAGGGATCACACCCGAGACAAAAAAAATGGTAGTTTGACCTTTGCTGACAAAACAATGTGCAAATAGTAGGCCATCAGAGAAAAAAAAACAAAAATAATGCATCAAGTTTAGATAATCAAATGGATGGGCCACTTTACCAGGTCTTTGATGTGTGAAGTAACCATCAAGAGCTAAGAGAGGCCTAGTCTGCAGAAAAAATGCAGAAAATCTAGGAGAGATGACATAGTGTTTCTAACTTCCTTCTAATGAAAAAAAAAACATGCCAAATTCTTGGGTGTAAAAAAACATGTGATCATATTTTTCTTTACCCACTTTCCGAGTTCGCACGAAAGAATTAAAATTCACTCCCTGCTTGACTGGATAAATCCACGTATAAATCAATAAGGAAAGTCACTACTTGTTGATTTAAATGTGCAGTACAAATGCCTATCGAAATAAAGAAAATGGAACTCTACCTTTTTAGAAAAAGGTAGGCTCAACCAATTCAGAATATATTTTCGAAGTGAAGCAAGATGCATTTGGTTAAGATCACAAAACACACACTGTTGTACCTATAAATTATTGGTCCAATAGTAGACACAAAGCAATGCAAAACAAAGGCATAGAAACTATTAAGTTTCATTTTGGAGAGAAGAGCATATTATGAGGTTGGAGGGCACAATACTTAAACAATTCAGTTTCAGAATTGTTACTATTTGGGTTAGTTTGTTTGTACTCTTGGAAGAGACTCCTCAGGTTTTCTGCTCCACCTGTAGTGATACCATAGGAAATTGCTTAATTTCTGATGAATAAAACGTACATACTGGAAAAAGTAGCTGGAAGGACACAATAGTAACTGACATACTCACTGAATTAACCGCAATGCTACAACACTTGGAGAAACTGCATAAAACATTACAACACTTACCTTTGTGGGGAATACTTCATAGTTTCACACGCATTAGCTTCACATTAGACATGATTGAATGGAAGAATGGATGCAAGCCAAGATGACATTGTGCTAGCTTATTCTTTCTGAAACTCTTCCTAATAATGTTGGCCTCAACATCACACAAGCCAGCTAAGTTTTGCACTTCTGCGGAAGGGAAAACCATAGTACATCTTACAGGCAACAACATCAGCACAGCTACAATAACAAAGTAATACATCTACATAATTTGTTTCCAATCCCTCACTGCCCCAGATCCATAAACAAAATTGAAGGGGGAATGTGAGGCTAATTAAATACTGAGACCCTACTTTGGTTACCATCGGCTGTAGGTAGAGACAGGTTAGGCACGGTTGTGGCAACACCTTCAGGAGGCCAACGGTACCGTGGGACGTTGAGGACGGGCATGGCAGAGAGAAGAGGCTCCAATTGGGGTTAGCAGGAGCCAAGCCTCCATCCTCACGTGCAGGTGGGCGGATCTGCATGCGCTGGAGAGGTTGTGATGCCGACGGGGGCGCGGGAGTCGTCGCGCATGGAGGTGGCCCAAGATGGGCGCGCCTAGGCTGCAGGGTAGCGGCGGGGTCCCAATGTGTGCGTTCGTCCTCTCTTAGTGGATCTGCGGCCCAGCCCGGCATCGCACCACCGAGGCTGAAAAGAAAACCAGCTCATTAGTTTCAATTTCAACAACGGGTGGTCCGATTCTGGTGTAACCTACCAAAACCAACCTCTCCAATGGCTTCGGAACTCCCTTGGCAGGAATCTATAATACCTAAATAGTTCATCCCCACACGGGAGGTAAGACTGCGGCTCCATGGAAGTCATCTTGATGAACCAAACGAGCGCCGGGGAAGGCACAGAGATCGGCTCCCAAACGTTGGGGAGAAACTGCTGTCTTTTTTTCTGGCGGAGATGGTGGTCGATCATTCTATTTTGGTTCGGTTAGAGAGGGTCAGTAGTTTATGGCTGGAAATGGCGAGATGGCTGGTATTCGTCGGTTATGTACTCGTTGTCGCTGGTAATGGAACGCACTGAGTGGATGACATGGCATGCTTGTTGATGCCGGTAACGGAACGCAGTGAGGTGACGACGTGGCATGCTTGCTGATGTGGACGGGCTGCATGTGAAGAGAAATAAGATAGTGGGGATGAACTATTTAGGTATTATAGATTTGGTTCATTTTTTTGTGTGTGTGCCAGTGCCACACACTAATCGATTGGAGAACTGTACTGTGCTTGTGGTTCTATCCAGTCTAAGTTAAAACTTGTCGCAATAGTTGTCTCTATGGGAGAAAATGCTTGCCTACTTAGAAATCCTCTTACCAAAAAATTGATGTGGACAGTTATAAAATAGCGAGTAGAATACTTTCCGTTCTGGCTAAAGCTGTAAATCACATAGCTTAACGAGCAACAGTCATTTAGTAGTCGAACAATAGTATGCATTTGTGTTATGTCCATGATCCATTTAATCTATCTTCTGTAGTCCTGACGTTTCATTTTCGGTTGTGGTGGCAAAGCATAAACCTGGACTGGTGGTGTGTTTACCTTGTGGTGCAGGTGAAGGAGTTTGTGAAAGCCTACAACGCCCTCCACGAGATGGGGTTCACCTCCCGGAACGTCCCCGAGCTGCTGGCGATGCACGACAATGACCCCGACAAAGTTATCCAGCACCTGCTCAGCACGACATAGTCGACGAATTCTCCACATTTGTACAGTGAGGCAGGTCCCGCTTCTAGCCAGCATTATGCTACATTGTACTGCCTGTAACTTGTAATGGAGTCTGGAGCGATTCAGTGTGTCTGTCAGTTGCGGTGCGGCGCATCCGCCCGACGGCCATGATTGGCGTGTCAGTCTTTCGACACAGTACGTTATTCGCATATGTGTGTGTGTGTGTGTGTGTGTGTATTGCTGTGAATATCTCGTGTGGAACTTCTTGTCAGCGTGTAGCTCGTCATCCGGCCCCTCGGCTGACCACCGTGCCAGCGCCAAGGAAATGTCAGGACCCAGGCCTGCATGTATCCATTAGCTAGTTGGTGCAGCGACGTGCTTCCAGCGTAGAACCGAGCCATCGTACGGACCAAGCGAGACAAGCAAATGTCTCTGGAGATATGCATACATCTTGCGTGCCGATACATATCTGCAGTTTCGAAACGCAGATTGAACTCGACCACCACGAGACGCAACCAAATCTCGAGCCCAGCACCGCCGCTGATATAAGCATGGCAAAGCTTGTCCACGCCGTCTTGCACGCGCACCACGACACCGCCACTGTGAGTGTGTGAGCTCACTCACTTGCACGTGGTTCTGCTCCCCTGAGATGAGGATCGCGTCGGCGTGGCAGCTGCTCCTGTCGGCGGTGCTGTGCTGCTGCTGCTGCATCGACGGCGCGGCCGGCCAGGGGTGGCGCTGCAGGTTCCCGGCCGTGTTCAACTTCGGCGACTCCAACTCCGACACGGGCGGCTTCTGGGCCGCCTTCCCGGCGCAGCCGCCCCCGTTCGGGGTCACCTACTTCGGCCGGCCCGCCGGACGCGCCTCCGACGGCCGCCTCGTCATCGACTTCATAGGTAGGTACCTACGCCTACGCTCGCCGTTGGTTTGATGGTATAATTCTGACGGCTTGACGCTGGTGATCAGCTCAGGCCATGGGGCTGCCGCTGCTGAGCCCCTACCTGCGGTCCGTCGGCTCCGACTTCCGGCACGGCGCCAACTTCGCCACGCTCGCCTCCACGGCGCTGCTGCCCAACACGTCGCTCTTCGTCACCGGCATCAGCCCCTTCTCCCTCGCCATCCAGCTCCGGCAGATGAAGGAGCTCAGCAATAGAGCGATCGCCTCCGGTGCCACCAGTGGTAAAAAGATCAATCTCCTGACCAGTAAAAATACACTACATGCTCTGAATTTCTGAATTTTACAGCTAAAACAGAGACTGATCGTTCGCTTGAATTTCAGGGCAACTTCCCCCGCCCGACATTTTCGGCAACTCTCTGTACACGATCGACATTGGCCAGAATGATTTCACCTCCAACCTAGGGTCGCAGAGCATCGGGAGTGTCAAGCGAACTCTTCCTTCAGTTATCAGCCAGATCTCGTGGGCTATACAGGTAATTTGGAGTATCACAAATGGTGGTTGATATTACTTCAAATGATCAAAATAACTGGCGAATCATGTGTGGCACCTGCTCAACTATTTGCAGGACTTGCACAGCATTGGGGCTCGCAAATTCATGGTGTTCAACATGGCGCCAATCGGGTGCTACCCGGCCTTCCTCGTGGAGCTTCCACATAGCAGCAACGATCTGGATGAGTACGGCTGCATGGCAAGTTACAATAGCGCGGTTGTCTACTACAATGAACTGCTGAACAACAGCTTGGCCGAGGTTAGGAAGACGCTGCAGAATGCGTCGATCGTGTACGTCGACAAATACTCTGCCATGCTCGAGCTGTTCAGGCATCCAGAAGATCATGGTGAGCTTTCTCTCCGATCTTTTTCTGCCATCCGACAAGTACATGAATCGATTTGGTTCATAGCCATATCTGATTAGAAGAGTTCAGCACTACTGAAAGGTGGTTGGGTGATGATTTCAGGGCTCAAGTATGGGACCAAGGCTTGCTGCGGATACGGTGGTGGAGCTTACAATTTTGACCCAGATCTGTACTGTGGCACCAGCAAGATTGTCAAGGGCAACATTGCGAGTGCGACGGCCTGCGGAGACCCGCAGAACTACGTGAGCTGGGATGGAATCCATGCCACAGAAGCCGCAAACAATATCATAGCATCTGCACTGATGAGTGGCTACTACTCGTATCCACCTTCCGATCTTTCAAAACTTTGCCGGCCATGACCCCATAGCCTGATCTCTGATCAAAGCACAAGTTTACTCAGAGATAGTGTTGCTCAAACAAAGTTATTCCGCTGTCAGATAACAGGGCAAGTTTAGTCAGAGACAGTGTTGCTGACACCAGATTACTCATTCTATCAGTTAAAAGATGTGTAGAATGATACAGAAAATAAGAGCTTTGTAGTAAGTGTGTCCTGTTATAAACTTGTTTACGCTATAATGCACCACTACATGTAGTACTGAAAGATTAGACAAAAAGTTGTAGTATTATTTAGACATGAACAATCACAACTATAAAAACACCAGCACAAGAATCATCCCCAGCATGATATCATTCACCAAACATAACATCAAGCACATAACTTAATTAACAAGATCTGAGAAATGGAGATAAAGCAGACCAGATCCATTGCAAGTTTCAAACTAGCAGACGGCACATAATTCAGAATCGCATGGCATGTAGCCGCTTCACCTTCAGATAGTCCACATCAACCAACCCGGCCATAATTCAGAATCACATCGAAGAGAGCAGAAAGCCAAAATGAGTTCACCAAATCCCATGGGCAAAAATAACAGAATAACACAGCCACCACGCAAAAATAACAGAGCAGGCCAGCAAAATCACAACGCCCATGGGGCACTGCATCATGCAGTGTTCAGTTCCATCACTGCAACACCATGCTAGTACATGTGACAAGAACAGCACCGCAGAATAACAGAGCAATGAGGTACTGGAAGACAAAATTAGCATCAAATGATAACTGAACTTGCATTGCCATTTCATTCGAACATCACGATCCATAGGAACAGACGACACAACATATCAACACCAACAAACACAAGCACCCGACACGCATCCAGATCACGAGACAAGAACAGCTACTACGGTACCCAGCAGTATGACCGGCGACCACGACGAACCTAGGCGCGCTCCCCACGGATGCGGCGGGCGAGCTGGATGTCCTTGGGCATGATGGTGACGCGCTTGGCGTGGATGGCGCAGAGGTTGGTGTCCTCGAACATCCCCACCAGGTACGCCTCGGCGGCCTCCTGCAGCGCGGAGACGGCGGAGGACTGGAAGCGGAGGTCGGTCTTGAAGTCCTGGGCGATCTCCCGGACGAGGCGCTGGAAGGGGAGCTTGCGGATGAGCAGCTCCGTGCTCTTCTGGTACTTGCGGATCTCCCGGAGGGCGACGGTGCCGGGGCGGAAACGGTGGGGCTTCTTGACGCCGCCGGTGGCTGGGGCGGACTTGCGCGCCGCCTTGGTCGCCAGCTGCTTCCTCGGCGCCTTGCCGCCGGTGGACTTGCGCGCCGTCTGCTTCGTGCGGGCCATCTGCGCGGGTGGGATGGGCGAGCGGTAGTGGTGGGTGCGGCGGCGCTGTGATTTGCGAGGATTTGGGGGAGAGATGGAGGGGTTAAGTAGGGGTGGGGAAATTTTGGAGGGTGGCGCGCGGCTGGAGCATTTCGGGAGGGAATTTCCGGTTTTGGACGGAATCTTGGCGCCACGGGGGAGGAGCGCGCGGGGTCGGGTGAGCCGTTGGATCAGCCGGAATGGACGTCGGAGATGTGTTTGTGCGGGTTGGCCACGGATCATTTTTAAATATATTTTTTTTGAAATAAGTTGGCCATGAGACTCTCCATCAAGAGATCGCCAAATACCAGTCCAGGTTTTTCTGGATCGGCAAGGGCGAGAAGCAGAAATACCATATGATGAGTTGGCCTGACATTTGCAAGCCTAAGGACCGGGGAGGTCTTGGGCTCTTGTCGTCTCGGCGTATGAACATTGCTCTCCTCACCCGATGGCTCTGGCACATTGCCAATGGGGAGGGGGGACTCTGGCTCACCATCATCCGCAATAAATAGCTTTCTACCAGCGTTCTGGTGGCTCCCAGTTCTGGCAGGCTGTATTGTCACGTCCATCTCGGTCGGCTCCGGATCCTCGACCCTGTTCTGGTTCGATCGGTGGCTAGGGGACTCCCCCTTGGCCGCCCGATTTCCGAAGCTATTCTCCATAGCGGTTGACCCTCGGGTCTCTGTCGAGACGACCCTTATTGACTTAGGGCGTCTCGCTTTCCGGCACCCCTTCGGCCCCCTCGAGGTGGCCGCTTGGGACTCCCTCCTCCAGGACACCGCCCTTCTACCAATGGACGTCAAGGGCGCTCCTGACTACATTTCTTTGCGACTGGAGTCCAACGGACGCTTCTCCACTAAGTCCTTATACTCAGCTATTGCTCCCTCGTCGGCCCCTGAGCCATTTAGCTTGATCTGGGACATTCGCCTCCCTCTGAAGATCAGGATCTTCTTGTGGCAGTGGATCCGGGGACGCCTTCCCTCTGGGGTTGAGGTCCTCAAGCGTAATAGACCAGGAGACGGGATATGCCCCCTATGTGGCACGGTGGAGGATGCTAACCACATCGTCTTCTCCTGCTCCACTGCCCAATTTATGTGGCCTTGCTTCCGTGAGACGGTCGATGGATAGTGGTGCAACACCAACTTCCCCGACCTGCTTGTTGAGATCCACGCCTCCGCCCCTCGCCACCGCCATATTAGATGGTTGTGCGTTGGGGTCCTTGCCTGGACGCTTTGGACCATCCACAACAAGCTTGTGATTCAGAAAGTGCCTCTTCGACGTGCGACTGACGCGATCTTTAAAATGTGTGGTTACCTGCAGCTTTGACGGCCGCTTAGCCTCCCCCAGGACCGGGACGCCATCAACACCCTCCTCGCCGTTCTTCGCTCGATGGCCTTCCGCGTGGCACCCCCGCTGCCCCCACCCCCACCTCTGGAGCCCGATTAGGCCTGCTGTTCGGGCTGCTGTGCGTGTGTCTGTGTTTTGGTTTTCAGGGCTTGTTGAGTTGTGCCATCAGCATTAACCCATTTTGCTACTATGTATGTTTGTGGAACTTGGGTGTGTGTGTGTGTGTGAACCTTGTTGGATGTTTGGCTTGGGTAGTTTGCTTTATCTATAAAGCGGGGCGAAAGCCTTTTTCGGTAAGGACACAATAGTAACTGACATACTTACTGAATTAACTGCAATACAACACTTGGAGAAACTACATAAAACATTACAACAATTACCTTTGTGGATGGTGTACACAACCTTCTTCTTGTAGACGTTGTTGGGCCTCCAAGTGCAGAGGTTTGTAGGACAGTAGCAAATTTCCCTCAAGTGGATGACCTAAGATTTATCAATCCGTGGGAGGCACAGGATGAAGATGGTCTCTCTCAAACAACCCTGCAACCAAATAACAAAGAGTCTCTTGTGTCCCCAACACACCCAATACAATGGTAAATTGTATAGGTGCACTAGTTCGGCGAAGAGATGGTGATATAAGTGCAATATGGATGGTAGATAGAGTTTTTTTGTAATCTAAAAATATAAAAACAAAAAGGTAACAAGTGGTAAAAGTGAGTGAAAACGGTATGGCAATGTTTCGAAACAAGGCCTAGGGTTCATACTTTCACTAGTGCAAGTTCTCTCAACAATAATAACATAACTGGATCATATAACAACCCCTCAACATGCAACAAAGAGTCACTCCAAAGTCACTAATAGTGGAGAACAAACGAAGAGATTATGGTAGGGTATGAAACAACCTCAAAGTTATTCTTTCTGATCAATCCATTGGGCTATTCCTATAGGTGTCACAAACATCCCTAGAGTTTGTAGTAAAATAACACCTTAAGACACACATCAACCAAAACCCTAATGTCACCTAGATACTCCAATGTCACCTCAAGTATCCGTGGGTATGATTATACGATATGCATCACACAGTCCCAGATTCATCTATTCAAACCAACACAAAGAACTTCAAAGAGTGCCCCAAAGTTTCTACCGGAGAGTCGAGACGAAAACATGTGCCAACCCCTATGCATAGATTCCTAAGGTCACGGAACCTGCAATTTGATCACCAAAACATACATCAAGTGGATCAATAGAATACCCCCATTGTCACCATGGGTATCCCACGCAAGACATACATCAAGTGTTCTCAAATCCTTAAAGACTTAATCCGATAAGATAACTTCAAAGGGAAAACTCAATCCATTACAAGAAGGTAGAGGGGAGAAACATCATAAGCTCCAACTATAATAGCAAAGCTCGCGGTACATCAAGATCGTGCCATATCAAGAACACGAGAGAGAGAGAGAGATAGATAGATAGAGAGAGAGAGAGAGAGAGAGAGAGAGAGAGATCAAACACATAGCTACTGGTACATACCCTCAGCCCCGAGGGTGAACTACTCCCTCCTCGTCATGGAGAGCGCCGGGATGATGAAGATGGCCACCGGTGATGATTCCCCCTCCGGCAGGGTGCCGAAACAGGGTCTCGATAGGTTTTTGGTGGCTACAGAGGCTTGCGGCGGCGAAACTCCCGATCTAGGTTATGTTCTGGAGGTTTGGGGATTTATAGGAGAGGTTGGCGTCGGGAATAAGTCAGGGGGCCCCACGGAGAGTCCACGAGGCACAGGGGCACGCCCCGAGGGGTGGGGGCGCCCTCCACCCTCATGGGCTCCATGGGACTCCCCTCCGATAACTTTTCTTTCCAGTATTTTTTATATTTTTCAGAAAAAATCTCCGTTGATTTTCAGCGCATTCCGAGAATTTTTTTTCTGCACAAAAACAACACCACGGTAGTTCTGCTGAAAACAGCGTCAGTCCGGGTTAGTTCTAACCAAATCATACCAAAATCATGTAAAAATATTATGAACATGGCATGAATACATAAAAAATTATAGATACGTTGGAGACGTATCAGCATCCCAAGCTTAATTCATGCTCGTCCTCGAGTAGGTAAATGATAAAAACAGAATTTTTGATGTGGAATGCTACCTAACATATTTATCAATGTAATCTTCTCTATTGTGGCAAGAATATTCAGATCCATAAGATTGGAAGCAAAAGTTTAATATTGACATGAAAACAGTAATACTTCAAGCATACTAACAAAGCAATCATGTCTTCTCAAAATAACATGGCCAAAGAAAGTTATCCCTACAA